AATGTTGAATATAAAGTTTATTATTTCTTACAAGTAACTAGGGCTGATCTTAATTTTTAATTTATAGTGGAGATTTGTTATAAAACTTTTCAGAGCATCATAATAGGGCTAAACAAGTGGGTGGTAATTGCCTCTAACTCATTGCAAAATGTATTGATATGAAGGCTTTCACACACACACAACTTCAAAGTAAATAAAAATCTGTAATAATTAGTAGAAAATGAAAGATTGTTCTTTCATTCTCCTGTGTATATTTTACATAGGATAATCTGAAGTTTCTTCAAAGAAACATAGTCAAAATTGGAGTATTTAACTTCCTGTTTTAAATGAGATTTATTCTACTATGGGTCTTTTTAATTTTGTGTTCAATCCTTTGTAATCATGAAATTTAGGTGTCAAATAAGATACAAGGTAGTCATTTGAATTTAAAAAAAGTTTTTAATATGACTATATCCCATGCAGTATTGAATATATACTAAAAAAATATACTTTGCCTATCAGAAATGAAAATATTACTAGGCAATATAAATATACATATTAAATTTTAAAAATAAAAATTATGTATTCATTATGTATATATTTTCAAAATCTTGCACTTCTAACTTGGAAAATTTCACAATTTTCATTTTACTTAAAAGAACATTTGTGGAATTAGCCTTGATTTTTAGCTTTAATCAAAACTTTTTCATCTATCATCTGAAAATATAATTCTTCCTCATAAAAGGAATTTCCTGAGATTTAAAAGGTCAAAATAATTTAGATTTTTGTGTAAACAATTTTAAAAAATCAACATTAAAAATTAATACTGATCCAATTGAAGGTAAGTATGTTGTTGTATCATAACTTATAAATTTAAAAATTATTATTGTAATAATTAACATTTACTGAGGCAAAATACATGCTAAATATTAGTTACTTTTTTTACCTGCATTGTTTCTCAATACAATTTTTACGCCATACATAATCTTGTTATCTTTGGTTTATAAACGAAGGACTGAGGCTTGGATAAGTTCAGTGCCTGGTATAATACCTCTATTAAATGATAGAGTTAGAATTTGAATCAGCTTTGCTGGCACATAAGCTGTGCTCATAACCTTCTGCTCTTCTTTTGAGTATCAACTTTGCTCATATGCTTTGAAAAGTTAGTGGAGAAAGCAATCTGAATTTATTTTCTGTTTTTTTCCTTATTTCATGATTAAAACAAATAAAAAAGCCCCCACAAACTATCTGCTCTCAACAATGCTGCACAACATAATAAGCCTAACTGAGCCCTCTTCCAAAATCAATGTTATTACACAAAAAAATAAACATCCATGGGAAAAGATGGTTCTCATGATGCATATAAACAAAGATCATCTCATTGCTAATGTGAGTGCCAGGAAATAAGGCATTACAATAAATCACAAACGTCATTGTTCTAATGTCCCATAATTTGGAAATAAGAACAAATTCTTACTGTTTAGATCACATTTCAGTATGGTCAGAGAATTCATCAATCAGCATTTAAAACAAGTTAACAATCCACCGTAAAATGCAAACCACATTATGAAGGGTATGATTCATTCACACTACCAGGAGTGACACAAGGAGTTTTTCTGACCGTGTTTGTTCCCAAACTTGGAAAGCCAGGGAACTAGAAATGGACTTTCAGTATACATGTGTTTCCTTCAAGACTCATATGCATCATTTGACTGCAGTAAAAGAGGGAATCTCTGGTGAACTTAACATTTTATTTTTCAGAAAACGGAAAGTTGTTGAATTCAATAATGTCTCTCCTGTATAGGAGGCAAATCAGAACCAAAGAATCTGGTATCCTGTTCAAGATAAAAATATCATCTTAAATTGTCATAGGTTGTATAACCTTAAATCATTTTCACAAACACGATATGACTTGAGAAGATGTGGCACTAGAAAGGGAAACAATCTGTTCAACATTAACACATGGGATGAAAGGTGAGACAGAATCAGGGCGCCCGTAGAACCTGTCCCACACTGGTTAACACAGGCTTAATGCCAAGATTTGCTCACTGTGTGTCTAGGTCACTACCTGCTAAAATTTTTAATAGATAACTGATAACTCATATGTCTCATTAAACTAGACTATAACGTCCCTCGTGAATTACATTTCAGGAATATGTTATATAAGTTAGGAAGCAGGGGAGAAAGGGATTGATATATGTTATAAATATATTTTATATATTTATAAAAAATTTTAAAACTGACATTAGCTATTATTTATTTATTTATTTATTTAGGTACTAGGGATTGAACTGAGGAGCTCTTGAACCCACTGAGCCACATCCCCAGTCTGTTTAATTTTTTATTTTGCAACAAGTTCTTGCTATGTTGCTCAAAGCCTCCTTGGTAAGTTGCTGAAGTTGGCTTTGAACTTGCCAACCTCTGCCTCAGTGTCCTGGGCCGCTGGGATTACAGGTGTGCACCTCCATACTCAGCAGCAAATCCTTTTAGAATGAACTTTCCCTTTAAATGCAAGTACTTGCTTTCATTGCATTGACAGCTTAACCTAAAGAGAGGGATGGAGAAAGACTATGCAGAAGATTTAAAGGTAACATTTCAGATATTTTTGTCATACTATCAGAAATAAAAAACTAAACTCTCTCAAAGACTCTCTAGTATCTGTTCTGAGTTATTCTGAATTGACTTGGCAAATAAATTTCCCAGTTCTTCTTACACATTGTAGTGGATGTTAACCCTGATTATATTGACCTTCTTTTAAGTCATGCTTCTTCTTCTTTTTTTTTTTTTTTTTAATTTACACTACATAATTCTTTGAGTACCTGATGTGTTCTGATTGGTTTACCAACTCTTGGATAACTCACCAAATCTTTGTCCTAGATACTAAATCTTGACCTTGACCTCCACACTATTTTGGAGCTTCTTGTAATCCTGAATGATAGCCTAAATGCATGCATCATGAAGAAACACAAGTACCATAAGAATCACATTTTAACAATCAAGA